ATTATTTATATAAAGCTGAATAATAATAATAATAATAATAATAATAATAATAATAACAGTAATAATAATAACAATAATAATAATAATAATAATAACAGAATATACATATATATTTTAACGAATAGGGGGACACTGGCCAAAAAAAGGTTGAGAACCACTGTTTAATGTTTAAATGTTCTCTTTTTTATTTATGTTAAAGTATTTAATGTTGGTTAATGTGTGGGTTAAAATGATCATCTTTCAATGTGTCCTATTGAACTACCTGTACAATGTAATATAACATTTGTTCGAGCTTTAGCTAGTTATTTTATGTATATCTATGTAAAAAATAAAATGTGCTTTGTAATACAGATAATCTTCAATAACAGGACATTTGATTTGATTTATTCAAAAATAAACAAAACTCATGAAGTCATTATGTCGTTTAATTGCTCGTTCCACTGTTACAGCCCTTTAGAAAACAAAAGCTCATGATACAGTTTCTTAAATAAAAGCTCAGGTTGCTACAGGAAAACTTAACACATACATTATGTGTCACACATTTTTTCCACAAATTATTCTTTTAAAGTTTCCTTTAAATCGGCGTGTGTTCATAGTATTTCTGATACAAAGAAGGCGGCTTTTCAGAATGACATTCTTAAATTTCACTGTTTTACATTAAAGGAGGAGTTCACATTTCATAAGAAAAAGAAACATATGTACAGAAATAAAGCGACTTAACTTGATTTTAACCCCATTTGGACTGTATTTATTTCACCTGGTGAGGTTGGGAGATTTTAACATCACCTGCTTTGTGTGAAGTGAATATGTGGGCAATTTTTTTTACCCTCTGCCCAATAATATACTATTATTGTGATCCTATTATGGGTAATAATAATAATAATAATAATATGTATGTTCACATTTATTACAGTTATTATACAGTAAATATTTTATTCCCCACCAACCCTGTGATGATAAGCTCTTCCAAATGGGGCTTTATTCTCTCCAATGTTCTGCTGATTGGTTACTATACTGATCTGTATCCAAACTTAAAAGGTTCCCTGACCCCACAATAATAATAATAATAATAATAATAATAATAATAATGATTTTAAAATAATAAAAGAGTTTTAAGATCCACAGCAACACTGAGAGCGTTATAAATGATCAACCAAAAGCTCTGACGTAAAGTAAAGTGTGAAGAAAGGGATGAGATAAAGACACTTGGTCGTCCTCAGTTTTGGTCCGAAAACTCTGAACTCATCTGGAAAGAGAAGAAAGGGATAACATGTTATTTAAATTATTCTTGATCAATACATTTGTGTCTATTTTTCTTTTCTAAGGAGAAAAAAAAAAAAAAAACAGCTACAGAAAGACAAACTACAGCAACTTGTACCCAGTATCTTGTTAGGAAGGTGTTAAAGAAGAAGATCTATATCGTTTAGTATCTAAAAGAGACAAACTGATCCTTCACATGTTAACCACATGCAGATGCATCAATCCAGGCACAAAGTTAAAAAAAATAGAATTATTTCTTTCAAAACAATTCATAAAAATCTATAAACAATTACTTTGTTGTTCACAAAAGATTAGAATTTTTCATTCATGCAAGTAAACTGCACGTGAACAGTACAATTGGCCCTTATTAAGCCCCGCCCCTTTGTGGAACAACTTCCTCCTTTAATGTATGTAGATATGCTACATTTTGAAGATGGTTAAAAGATAAGAGAGACATATATATATATATATATATATATATATATATGATCACATCTTTAGTTAGTTTACCATAAAACACCTGCTTTTTGAATGGAGTTTGGTTTGACAGTCTGAAGCGATTAATAATTAATAATTCACATAAACTGAGCTGACTTATCTTCTAATAATGAACCTTGTAAACAGCATAAAGTAATGTTTTCTTCTTCTGTGGGCTCGTCATAAAAGGTTGAACCCCTATTTCTGTATTTCTGTCCTTTTTTTCTATGAATCTATTCTACAAATAGCTAAAAAGCAATACGGTATTCTTATTTTATACTATTAAATTAGCAAAGACCTTTTTGCATTTACCGCCAGTAGAATTAGAGAAAGGAGAAAGTTGACCGAGGTTCCAAAACTGGCAGGACTTACGAAGATCAATTGAATTCATGCTTTAAAAGACATTGCTATCTGCTGTAGCACAAAACAACACAAACACACTTTAACAAGGACTATTCAGTGTAGAGCAACAAGTTAAAGCTGCGTCTACCTGAACGTCAAACTCTTCAAATCCAGAAATCAGATTGTTGGCCTGAAAGCAGAGCAAGAAGAAAGACACAGAGACACGACAGGCTTATTATTCTTTTCCCTCGGCTGTGCATCCTGGATCTAACATTAAACGGTGAGTTGGTTCTGGACCTGCGCAGGACTCTGGACAGCAGTATTTAAAGATGCACACACAGCAGCAGTCTGTAAACTCGTGGTACAAAGCGGTACTCACCACAGCATCGATATCTCTGGGGCTCACGTACTGCGATAAAGCCTTGTAGTCGTCAGGAGTCATCGGCATCATGTTGTCCTGCAGTCTGGACGGATGTCTGTACCAACAGGAGAGAAGAACATCCACATTAACACAAAATATATCACATTAATTATCATGAATATGTTTTTGTGACGGATGCTTACACTTCTGAGACAGATATGAGCTCCGTCTTCATGTAGCCGGTCCTCTCTGGGTTCTCTACGTCCATGGGCTCTGTAGCTGGAAGTCAGATACACACAGATAAACCTTTAAAAATCTGAATGAAGTTTTGTATCAGAATGTGTATTTTGCGATTGAGTAAATTAAATAGAAAGCGTAAAGTGTGCAGTGGTGGTGGAGGAAGTATTCAGATTCTTTATTTAAGTCAAAGTGGCAATATCATGCTGTAAAAATACTTCAATACAACTGAATTATTGTCAGCAAAATGTACTTTAAGTACACATTATGCATGAAAAATGTAGTTGCTTCATACTGTATATAATATGTATGATTGAGTCCTGCAAACCCTCTCCTGCAAATATTTTTGCATTTAATTGAAATTAATTGTCAAAATAAAATATTAAGACTCATTTTCAGGTGTTTATTAGACCTGAAAATAAGTCTTAATATGTAAAAAAAACACAACAATAGAGCCTCCAAAATGTTACACACTGGACCTTTGAAAAGTATTTCATTACGGACGATGTCATTTACTGGAGTACTTACTCTCTGTGGGTTTGGGGTAGTACTTCCCGAAGGCCTTGTCTTTTGGGATGTTGGGGTAGAGGAAACGAAGCGGGTTCTCAGGGATGTTCTCGGCGGCCATGACCTTGTAGGTGCGGATGATGTCGGGCAAAGAGACGGCGGACAGTTCCTTCTTTGTGTACGGCTCCACAGAATGGAAGACCGGCTTGTCTGGGTTCAAAAACAGAGATTTTAGAAACTTCCAATAATGAAACCAAACCAACGTGCAGTAACTTATGTGATACAGATACCAATTATTAGAATTCAAGGAAACAATGAGCTAGGAGCTGTGCCCTTCCCAAGTCTCTAAGCGATGTAAGAGCTATGATCAACAGCATCAAAGGCAGCACTTGAGTGTAAAAGAAATAAAAGCGAGCAGCCGTTGTGCCTGATTTCTTTTGCTTACAGTTTGAAAACAAAGTAGCCGTTATTGGACACTAAATGCGGCCGAAGAAGCACTTTCTACACCAATTCCCTTTGCTCACCGTGCACGTCGTGTTCGATCCAGGTGAAGGTGATAGCTCCCTCTCTGCTGCTCTCACTGAACCTGAGCAGGAAGGTACCGGGACACTTGTCACTCAGCAGAGCCTTCTCCCTCTCCTTACTGATGAAGCCCATGATGGAGCTGCACACAGAGGCAGAAAAAAAAAATCACAAATCCACTCTCAGACCTCTCAGAAATGTTTAATCTAAAAATGAGCTCACCCGTCGTTCCAGAGAGAAAGCAGGTGTCTTTTGATCACATCGAGGATTCCTTCGATCCACAACCAGAAGGGAAAAGCTTTCTCATTGGCACCCTGCTGCGGGAAAAAAGAAAAAGGGTTTAGCAAAGATACACTTTACAGATACTACAAATAAAGCAATCATGTAAATAACAAAATAATGCTTTGAAAGGCTGTATTTTTAATTAAAAACCAAACATATCTACTGTATATCATAGGCCGATTGTGGTTAACCTTGCAAAACTTGGTCCATGGAATTTGTCCCTCTGGGTTCCTCTGGGCCTTGGCTCCTACAGAGAAACATTCAGGTTTCAGCATTTTCTAATTAAGGTATGATTATGACATCTATACAGCGCATTAGAATAAGCGTCTCATTTGGAGTTCTCACTGCAGATTGCCTGTTTACAGTCAGCTCTGTGCGTTGTAAACAAACCGACTAGCCAACGGTTTAGAGTAGAGATGCATGCACAAAAGAAAAACACTTTTTATGGCGATTGTCTGAATATTGTCATACTCGGAATAATAGTGTCAAAGTGTGAAAGATCTGAAAGACTCAGAGGTGATAATCTTTAAAAGTCTATAATTTTGCTTTCGGTTGGGTGTTTGTGATGCGGTTCCCACCGAGCAGTTTGTCAGCCAGCATGTTGAGCTGCTCCTGGTTCAGGCCTCGCTTAGTGACGGAGGAGAACTGCCAGCTGAGAACCTCGGACAGCTGAGACCACTTCGCGGACGGAGGGGAGAGGAAGAACTTCAGATTCTGAGGATGAGGAGAGAGAAGATGAGGAAACTTTATTAACACCAGTAAGGGTCTGAAGACATTTGAGGCCAATTAAATAAATATAAAATAAAAAAACATTCTCACTCATTTTACAAGCAAACACTTGTGACAAGGAAATCTCCATTTTGGTTATGAAGAAATTCTGTAATATTTCTATGATTTAACAATAAACTTCACAATCAAAGAAGACAGCAGTGAGTGAGGAAGCATTCAGCTTTTTGACTTGAATAAAAGTAGCAGCAATACAGTATAGAAATACTCATCATCACATCAAAATATACTTAAAGTACTCATTACGCCTTTCTGATTCCTACATGATTGATGCATTTAATGTTGCAGCTGGTGAAGGAAGAACATTTTTTTTAATTACTTTATATACTGCTGGGTTAAACAGTAATAATACACAATAACTTATTTATTTATTTATATTTTATATTAATAATTTAAACCTGCAAAGTAACTGGTAAAAGCAGTTATTAAATATATGTAGAGATGTAGAAGTATAAAGTAGCATAAAATGGAAATAATAGCAAGTACTTGTACTAATGTATAGTATCTGAGTACTGCACCACTCGTAAATTGTGTTTGTGTCTAAGAGAAAATTAAAAGTTAGAGGAAATTGGTGAATGAATTCTCCTAAATCAGTCGTACATCCTCTTGAGAACGGACATGTTCTTGCACGAGGCCCATCTATCATGTAAAAAAATCCCAATCTCAATAAACATGAACCAAAGACATTTCTTCACTTTTTCTTTTTTTATTCAGTTAACTTTAATGTTTTGTCACTCCTACTTTTAGTTTTTAAGGAACTAACTATAATGACCTTGGTTTGTGTTTGTGTGTGTGTGTGTGTGTGTGCGCGCGTGTGTGTGCGTGTGTGTTCACCTTCGGCTCGGTGGTCAGCATGTTGTACCAGAGGATGGAGGCCCAGCCGCTGGGCAGCTGACAAACGTTAGATATGACCACAACAGGCAGAGATATTGCCTACAACAACATATAAACAACAACAGGAAATAATTATAAACAAACTCATGAAATCCAGATTAAATAACACGCTAGTCTTTTATTTTCCCCTGTAGACTATATGAGGGGATCTCTCCCACAACGGCAATAAATAAAATCGCAGATTTACAAATGTAATAATTCTTTTTTTTCTACAAAACAATATTACTGAGATTGTATGTCCCCACATTATAACATTTGCACTTTAAATCGTGATTTAGACGTTTGTGTCAAGGTTGTGTCGTCTGGTCTCACCTCCAGTTTGATGTTGAGACCCGACTGGTTGAGCTGCAGCTCGGACTCGAAGCTGAGCGAGTGAAGCTCCTCGGTGACGATCAGAGGACCCTGAACAAACACGGACACACAAAGAGGGTTCCCACTCTTTACACACCTTTCCAGGACAATTAAAGTCACTGTACATGTATTTATCAACCACAGCAACAAGAAATCTGATCATTAATAGGCTGTATGCATGAAGGAATGAGAATTTCACTCGCATTCATAATATCATCACTGAGACTCTTACCTCATTCGTTCGGTTGCCGGCGACCTTCTGCTCTTTCAGTTGCTACGTGGAGAACAAGAACAAATTAGAGAAACACACCACGTCATCAAACTTTGTCTTTTATTGTTTGAATTGAGAGACCCCTTAGTGGCAGAAATTACATATTGTACATTTAAAGTATTTAAAATGAAACACCCTTCTTACCAAATGTCTGAACTCTGCTGCAAGGCTGCCGTTTGACTCCTCCATGTTCATAACTTTGGTGTTTGTTCCCAAAATGTTGAACTTCCGAAACCTGACAATAGACACGAATAAGGAGTCGAACATTTATTGACATTCAAATATTTGATATTGAATGAATAATGCTTTTTTTCTGTTTACTTACTGAAAGTATCAGTATTAGGATTTTTAGCATAAAAAGAGTTATTAAAGGAGACTTTGTTGAATATTTATCTTAAAATGTGTGTAAATGGTTTTTGAGACGTACCCTTTCTTCTCTGTAACATCTCTGAGGAAAAGCAGAAGTTAAGAGATTAAAAACATGTTCATACACAGGCAGGTATCAACTGTTCTCAGAAGGTAAATGAACAGCTTACTTATCAAACACAGCCTTGACTTTGAGCTGGTAGTTAAACTCCTGCAGCTTCACCAGGAACCTGAACAAAAACAAAAATTCAACTGAAACAGGAAGTTGACACAGAATTGCACTTGTTTTTGTACATTTGTGACACGTTTGCTGCGTTTATATTTTTCACTCGTGACATTTTATTTGGGTGACACAGATTTTTCACAGAAAAACAGGAAAACCACAAGTGTAATTATTAGAAGATTAGAAGAGTACTAAAAGAACGTATAACTTATAACCACAACTAGTTCAGTTTTGACATCAGTATTGTGTTTTTTTTGTCTCTTACCGTAGTTTCACAGTGAACTGGACGCCTGTTTTCAGCACCAGGGGTCTCTGAGGGTGGGTGGGCATGCAGGGCTGCCTCTCCACAACCAGGGAGCTACACACACACAAACACACACACACACAATGTCCATTATTGCTTAGTTACCCACAAAAAAAAAGATTTGTAAGTTAAAGTAAATCAAATTCTAATTGATGACCAATAATAAGGTTCCTTACTTGGAGAGAAGGTTCTTGAGGAGATCCAGGGCTCGGGCCTCCAAGAAAGCTTTTTTCTGTGTGATGGGGTCGCTGTCGTAGGTGAACTTCTGCTCCAACTCCTGCAGCTTTTTCAGGTGCTGACGGACCTGCTGGAGACTCTCTGCTACTGCTGTGAACCTGCAGGAGGAAGAGGAGGAGGAGAGTATTTGTTTATTTTTTTCTGTTGCTGTTGTTTGTTTATTAAGCTTGTGGGAGGCAGGAAGACTCACCAGTTCTGTAGCTGGTCCACGCAGGCGTTGGGCGGACCGCCGATACAGGCGATCTGCTGCCGCTGCTTCCACTCAGGCAGCTCCTCGGAGATCAGGTCAGACAGCAACGCCTGAGTGACGTTGAGGAGGTCGGTCAGCTGGGTCACCACGTCCTGAAACAGCAGAGAAAGCGTTCATAAACAGGTCGACCACAACAGCAATTCTCAAACGATAACAAGATACCTTATTCTCCCCTTATCCAGCAGTGCCAGAATGAATTTTGATGTCATTTTAGTCTCAAAATCTTACAGTTTTTGCACTAGAACAAAAATATGGTAAGAAATCGTAAATATAGCTCTGACAGCCATCCATCCTCTGTATGCCCTCGGTCTCTAGCTACTGCTGTGAGGAGGAGAGAGGAAGAGGAAGTAGAGGAAAAAGGGAGAGGACAAGGTGGATAAGGGGAAAGAGGAGGAGGAGAGAGGAGGATGGGAGGAGACAAATCAAATCCCTCCCTTAAAACATATCTCATCTGTTTTTATTTCGTCTCTGTCTGCTCACCTGTCGTTTGGCTTTGAGTTCAAAGCCCATCCTCCCAACCGTCATTTTCTCTTTCTCCAGCTCCTTTGGTGTCATGCCGTTCATTTCATTCTCTACAGAAACATAAATAAAACCTTAAATCAGAGTTTAGCGTTTAGCGAGTCTTACTGTGGAAGAGAACACTGACACCCCATTTAGACTGTTAAAAAAGCAGTATCTGGACCAGTTAAGGTGGTGGCACATCAGCCCCAGACTCCCTTAAAAAATACTGGAGTTTTGTGAGTTGTTGGGTTCTGGGAATCTTTATAAGCTTTGTGAAATGCTGTCTACGACAAATTCCTAATTATTTGTCCCTTCTTATAAATTCAGAATGTAATACATTCAGTTATTTCTTTTTTTGTGTAAAAAAATGTTGTGTCTGCAAAAAAGGAATCTCAAGAAAGTAAAACAGAAATTAGTTAGATATTAGTCTTAGTTTTTGTCTAAAAAGAAAAGTAATCTTGTCAAGCATGTTTTGCCTTAGAAAAGTAATCTGGTTTTAAGAAAAGATATCAGACTTTCTCTTAATAAGATGTTACAGCTAATATTGAGCTTAGTTTAACCAGTAACAATAATGGTTTGCATAAAATAAAAATCCCAGCAAAGGAGAAGATTATTTTCATTATTTTAAGAGTAAGACCACTTGCATAACTAAGTTTAAGTGAAGGTAATCTTGTCACAGTGTTTAAATAAAAGTGACAAAAATAAGAATCCTTCAGGTTCCTTTATTTAATATATACCTGCATTTGTTTTATTATGCTGTTTGAAGAAATTGTGTCTTATTTTTTTTGCTAATTATTAATTTAAAATTAAGGTTTAAATTCTTCAATTCAGCAGTTTTCCCACCTCTGTTCTTCAGCGTGTTGACTTTGAAGTCGTACTCGTCCTGCAGATCTTCTAGGTTCTTAATGTTCTGATCCGCTACCTGAAGAAGAAGATTTGAGGAGAATTTCGATAGTTTTTCTTACCAGCGTGATGTCATGTTGCAACCTGAAGCTGTAACTGTAATCTGATCCCGGTTCATCATGTGAAGATGTTTAGTATTTACACGTTATCTATACGGTGTCTGTATTGACTGTAAAAAAGATAAGTTACCTGGACTCGGTCTTTCATCTCCTTTACTTTGTTGTCCAGCTTCTGTTTCTCCACCACCATGGCCGACACCGTCCCTTCACCCTCCTGCTGCAAACAGAAAGGTAACACTATATTTTACTTTGTGAATAAAAAAGCACTGAATGAAAGTCTCTGTAAATTATATATTAGAATTCATTAATTGAAACTGTACAAATTGAACACGTTTTAACTATATTTAGTGCCAAATAACTTAGCCATGTCCAGGAAGATTTAAAACTATACATTTCCTCATTAAAATGTCTATAAACAGCTTTGTTCTATATGTAGTTGAGTTGTGTACCTACATTATCCCAAATGTTTCCAACAATATTCAGACTTTATTCAGGTAACGGTGCATTTTACCGATCGCCTGTCGATGGCATCATATCCCTTTTGTGCATACGTTGTGGTTGTCTGCCAGAAGCTGTAAATAGTTTAAGGCCACGTTTTTACCATCCACTTTTTAGATCTTGGTGGTTTTTACCTCTATATTTGAACCGAATGAAGGATTTTATCGTACGTCCGGATCTCAGAAAAACAAGCTGAGCAAACCTCCGGGCTAATATATATTAACGCCTATACAATTACAGAATAATAATAAGTGTGTAATTATATAATGTTTTCTCAGATACAAAATGTGTCATTTTAATATTATAAAACTATTTTAAAATGAGTGGATCCATTTTCTTCGTTATCTAAGAAAGAAAAGTTCTGTGAAAACGTTTTACCTCTGCACTTTTTGCAGTGGCCAGGATCTTCTGCTCCTCCTTCAGGTTTCTGGAGATGATCATGGCCATGTGGACTGGATCTTCCTGGAACCGATCCTGAAGAGACAATCACTCTACATTTAGAGTTTATCATCAAAATTATAACTCATTACACAAAGAAAGAAGTCTGACCTGCAGGTTCCTCTTGATCTTGCGGATGTTGTGCTGCAGCAGGAAGTTGTTCTCCAGGGCGAAGCGGCTGTGTTGGTCGTCGAGCTGTGCCAGGAGGTCGTGGAATCGAACTGTGGCCAGAGAGTCCTGCATGGCAACCGTGTCCCTGAGGAGGCGGAGATGGAGAACAAGTAGAGACTAGGAACTTCCTACCATCTACTGGTCACAATGTTGTAGTCTATAAATACATACACAACTATTTACATACATTAAAAACATAAATAACCTAAATGGATCCTACAAAGACATTTAAAACCATTTTAATGAGCATTTTATTTGACATTTTCTGACATTTCACTGACTATCAATTAATCAAAAAAGTATTAGGCAGATTAATTGATAACGAAAAATAATCATTAGTTGCAGGATAATACACAAATGTTCTTTTTCTTGTTATTTTAGTCAGTGGCAACTTTTCAACTACATTTTCTAATTAAAGTTGCAGCCCTATTAAAAAATTAAGAAAAGGATTTGAAAAAGTAAAACTTTACTTAAAAAAGATAACAAAAAGAACTCAGGTTTCCTCGCAGTGTGACAGTCTTACCAGTCGATGCTCTCGATCCACTTGCTCAGGTACTGGCGGATGTCCATGGGGAACGAGTCGTCATACAGCTGGTCCACCTGCTCCAGGTACTTGCAGTCCAGCATCTGGAGCTGGCACCACTGCGCCATCTTCTGGTGAACAAGAGCAGCTTCATGAAGATTCAGGGTCACAACTTGTAGCCCATACTTCATTTAAAATTCAGTGCATCACAAAAATTGATTTTTAAAAAGCAATATCGATAGTAAATCGATAGGTCAAATGTCAGGGAGCTCTGGAGCTACAATCTTCACTCACTACACCAACCCAGTGGCTTGTTAACAGATCAAGAAAACAGAAATCAGAAGTGCTGACTCGATAATTATTATGCAACATGTCTCTCCTCCCTTCTGCTCAGGGGAACTTTAGAAACTAAAACCAAGAGGTCTGTAATCTTGGAGGATTATTACACATTTTTCTTTTGACATGACATAGTAGGGTAGACATAGATGTTACCCATAATTAAGGCTCTGTTCTATTCAGGTCAGGGTGCTGCTATTGTTCATGTTGGCTCACTGGAAAGGTGATAACACCTGCGTTCACCCTGAGTGGCTGCAGTGAAAAGGGTCTATTCAGATTTGAACAAGAAGTTAATAAATATAGAAGATGCAGACGCAGAAAAGTCCAACATCTGAGACTTTAGACTTGTGTGTTAAACATTGTTGAATGAAAAATCTAAAATAAAAAGACAAATAATGAATACACACAACCATCCTGAAAAATAAAGATATGGATTTTTGTCATTCTTGCATCTGAAATCTGCATTTGTTCATTATTCAAACCCAACATTATAGTACATATTTAATCATACCAAGCTGGCCCATAAGTCCATAAGTTTCATTTCCCCCACTGGTGTCACTCTGCCTCTCCAGCGTTAGTCTAAAAATATCCTCCAACAGAAATCCTCCCAGGACCTATCTAGCTTTCGTAAAACCAAATTCCATCCAGAAATGTGACTTTTTAAGGTTTTCCTCTCTATTGCCATAAATACCAGCGTCACAGAAAGAAACAAAACATTTTACCTAAATAAGTATGTGGCATTGGTGAATTCGGCTCACATGTAATTCACCTAGTGTCACATATGAACTACAATTACAACATTTGAGACAGGTTGGTAGTTTATAACCAACGATTCAGACTTTAAGTGGTGGGCGAAGACTGGTTCCGTAAACCATTACAAAGAAAGTGTATTATTTATTAAAACAAGTGCTGCTTGGTACAGCGAATATAAAGGGGAAGCTAGCGACGTATAACCAGTCTTTAGTGCTTCTCTAGGAGTTGTTTTTCGTTTAACATTATCGATTAGCAAAGCCAAGTTCAGCTCCTTAAATCTGTGGATCAGTCTAGTTTAAGTGTATCTTAATATGATAACAAATACCGTATTTTGGCTACATTTAGTGACTGCGTGAGGAAGTAAGTGATTAAACTTACCTTTTATTTTTGAGGGATCGTGTACAATCTCTGGAAGAAATGTAATAATACTGGAAAGAGGTTTTTTTCCAAAATTGTGCAACGAATGTGCCAACAGATACTCAGCCTATTTCTGCTGCTGTAGAACTGTACGGAAACAGCGTCATCCAATCAGCGTTTAGAATTACTCCCATGTGCCCGCCCCTTTTCTCGTGACAGCCAATCAGGACGATGAAAATTGGCTGTTCCGTCAGTTAGCTGGTTTACCCACAATAACAATAATACACAGTGTGTTTTTATTGCAGATTTGGTAATACGAGCACAAAAACAAGAATAAATTCGCGCTTTATTTATTTTTTCTTAGACTCCAAGGTTGTCAAATAATCTGTAAAGTATATTTTAAATGATTAAAAGCAATATGACGCAGAGTTTTTAGGGGAGGAAAGCCAATAAGCAGAAGAGCTTAGAGTGACCACGTGTTTTCAGAGAAAGAGAAAGTAACCCAGACACCTACAACTCTGAAACTAAAACCTAATTCATGATAAAGATCAGTTTGCACATTACTAATGTCATTAATGTCTCTTCTTATCTTTCTTTTCTCTTCTTATCTTTCTTATATCTACGGTTGTACTGATCTTTGGAAAGTTACTCTCCTTATTTTTCCTGTGCATGAGTTTTTGTGTTTGATTCTGAGCATAAGTTGATATTTGTATATTTGTATTTGTACTATGCTGTATATGTTGTATTGCACGGCACAGAGTGCATCGCCAGGTCACATTCCTCGTAGGCGTTAAAAACGCTACTTGGCACATAAACAAAACTTCCTGATTCTGATTTTGGATCCAAAGGGATCAAAGAACAATCTTAGAAAACGGTAGATAGAATAAGACTTATCTTTCTATGTTTCTACCATTTGTACTTGCCCGCGCCCTGATAATAATTCGTAATAGTAACATCCTATAGCTGCAGGTTACCAAGTGGTCAGGAGCACCTTTAACTGAGGCTTTGCACAGATTAGAATCGGGGGGGGCTGGAGTTTGGCAAGGATGAACGATGAGGGATGGGATTCAATCAGGCCCCTAGAAAAGAGGGAAAAATACTGAATACAGCGCTATCTCTTGTTTTAGTGGAACAGACAGAAATTGCTTTATCTGTTTCGGAAGGCGGTCACAAAAGAATATAACCACTGATTTAGACTACAGGGAACCTTGGCTTTAGGTCACTTGCTAACGTGTCTTATCTAACTTGGTAGAGAAAAATACTGAATACTGCCCTGTGTCACTCGGCGCATATAGAAAAATAACAATACCAGAAAGAATATCAGAAGCGTTCCACGCGATGCATCCAAGTTCTGTTGGTTTTGTTCTCCACCAAAGCCATTAGGGACGAGTATGATATTAGTCGATAAGTGTCTGTCATCTGAAAGTGCATATTGCAGCTGGGGGGTGGGACCCTGTCTTCACATACTTCATACACTGTATGCCCAAAAAATATAGACATGTTTATAGCACATTTATGATTATTAACTATACAAAGCCCACATTTTGGTGCCAGCCTGTGGTGACGAAATAAATAGCTTTTAAAAAAATTTTTTTGACATACCGTTGAAGACTTAAGTTACCCAGGGGGAAATATTCGTGGGGTTGATCTTTGACACACTGCCTGTTGTGAAGCAGATGTTAACCAGGACAAAACGAGTCTGCTGTAAGAACGCCATCCTGTGTGGTTTACAATAATACTTTGCATAGCCAGCTATTCAAGCTAGCTGTTGCAGCCATGTTGACTGGTGTACCATTTTTCAGACTTCATAATGAATCACTGGTTTCACGTTGCATGTCAGCAAACAAACTGTTAGTGTACTCTCTTCAGAAACCACACAATGCTGCATTAAACGATCAGATCTTAGAGACTGAACTCATGGTTTCACCAGAAAATAACATTGTTTTGAGAGGTCGATGTATCAGGTGTGCTTACTATTGCCTTCTGATCACAGACAGCTAGCTCATTGCAGTGCAGCATTCAGAACTTTCGGAACTGACACAATGCAGGAAACATGACCTGGATGTTGTGGGGCCGCTTACTCTGTGGTTTATGTGTCATCGTATACTGTACTACAGCCATACAGTAGCGAATGTGATGAGTCATATCTTAGACATAAATAGCCAACAAACTCCTGGCAAACTTTGCTGCTTCAGTCTCAGGCCATAGAGGAAAAGCAAGACTAAATATAAATATCTTGCATTCCTAATCCTCCTCTCGTTGAAACATATCTTGTCTTTAACAGGAACTTTGTATTTAAAATCTTGACGATCCTCGCCGGAAGTTGAAATGAGAGTAAATTCTGCTTTATTGCAAGTGCAAACTCTACCGCGTGTCCTGCTGATACAGTTATTCTGCTCCTTAGGTCTAAAGGAAAGCAGTTCTTGTAGAGATACACGAGAACAATCAACAATTATAGAAAGTCACTCAGTGATGCTGACAGGACATTTTGTTCTCTGCAGGACACACAGAATTTAATCTCGTCGGCCAAGTTGGAGGACGTTCTGTTCCAACAGAACAAGACTTTTTGGTCAGAACCCCCATTGAAGCACCCAACAAACAGTTCAGGACATCTAGCACTCGGCTCAAAATCAGACAACCCTCCCTCTTGAGCATCGAGCGCGAGTTCCGTCAGCCTTCAACTGCCCAGGTCTTTCAATCCACTAGCTCTGAGCAGCAAACAGGGAAAACAAGGAAAGAATATGGGTCCATTAACGGAGGATAGTTGAAAGATTCCCTGCGCGGTTGGACACGCAGGGTTTGGTAGCTAATTGCGCAGCTAGGACGTGCGACAAGTAATTGCGATCATGCTGTTTATTTTTGTGCCAGAGAGTTCTAACTAACAAGCCTCCTTAAAATCTTGTTTTTTGGACCTCCTGTGGGTTTGAACTTCCCATCCTGCTCGCAGCTGCATCAAGTGTTGCAAGCCTAGCAAGAGACATTGAAGGGAAGAGGCAAATTGCAAGAAAATGCCAGGAGAAGGCAAGAAGAAGTCATAAGGGAAAGGAAGATATTGGTTCTAACCAATTGCCACGAATAGCACCAGTAAGGTTTTTTCCGTGTAAGGCGGTTCCTTCAAATGGGCTTCAAATTACAGGTATGTCTAAGGTTTAACGGGGGTAAGGTATCCTGACTTTAAAGGAAAGTCCTTACAATTTTGGTTAACCTGTTGCACAAAAAGACCGTTAAGAAGCTAAAACTTAACGGTACTCCTTGATTTTAACTTATCTTAATTTGATGGAAAGATGTACAT